GGCAACATTGAGCATGAATTTGAAGATCAAGTTCACAATAGACAACCATCACAGTCAACCCAAGGTGTACGAAAAAATCCTTCTGATGCAAGAAAACCTCCAGCAAGGCTCTTGGACTATGTCATTTATGCCTCAAGGTATCTTTAGGTTTTTCGATGCGTAAGGGAACCCAAGGTCTTACCTTAGATTTTTCAACGTGCCGAATCTGAATTCATTGTCCGTTTTCCCAAATTCGACCATTTTAGTAGAGTTTTATTAAATGGCTTCTATTTCTGCTTAGGTGCGTCAGTGGGAAGTAACACCATCCTTGCTAGTCCGAGCGGATTCCAGGCAATGAAATATCTGTGAGTGGACACCTTCTTAACTTGCATGTTTTTATAAAATATTAGGCTTGCATTCACGAAAAGCATGATTATTTATGATTTATCGAATTTACGTTTTACGAAAGGTTATGAATTATTGGATTTTTGTATATGAAATGCCACGGATTTACGGATATGATTTATTTATGGTTTATGAATATGAATTATCATGGATTTATGAAATGAGGATTTAAGCCTTTGAGCCCCAGATTGATATGAGATTTTTGAGATATGTTTTCGGTGCTTATCTAAGGGGTTATCATACAACACATACACACAACCAAGTATGTAGACGTCTATGGCCATATGACACAATTGAGGATATTTATGACATACTCCCAGCTTCACTAGCCTGAGGCTAGTGTCAATGTGTGATGTTATATGTATATGTTTCTTCTTTGGTGTAACCCAGAGTCGTATAGCTTCACCTTCAAGTGATGGACTATGATTTCTTCATTGCCATAACCTGATGTCGTACAGCTTCACCTTTGGTGATGGTTATGCCTTCAAGCCACTATGATACCCCTAGTGAGTACATCATCGATGAGATTTATGGATTTGGATTCAAGTAGCGATATTTCCATTAATGAGCACTGGATTTTACGTACTTGTTTTACGAATGTTTTCATGGCATGTTAGAGTTTTCAGAAAACCTACTATGTAGTACTACATATATGTTTTCAAAATAGGGGGTTAGTATGGTCATAAAGAAAATGGTTTTTATTATTATTATTATTATTATAAACTTTGGTCCACTCACCCTTTTAGTTTTGCGCCCCCTTTGAAAGTTAGAATCGAGGCATACAATCCTAACATCAGGGCACTTCCGCTTAGGTATCTTCAAGTCTTCTCAGTGTAGGACCCACTTTCTTGGTAATCTCATTTATTTTAAAATATTCCTTCGTACTTCTCTTGATTAGTTGTATGCTCTAAACACGTTCCTGCAATTGCATACTTCATTATATTCCTAAATTACATATTTTATTTATGTTAGTCCTTTCGTTGTAACTTGCATGCATGTTAAAATAGTTTCGTCACTCTCAAGTGTCGACCAACACATGCCTATCCTGTTATTTAGAGATATTGAGGTTGGGGCTTGTCAACCTACCTTGAGCAAGAGCAAGGAGCGGCAACTAAAACTTGAAACTAGAGGAAGGGCGTTGCTTTGGATTTAGGACTTGGAGTTCAAAGAGAGAGAGAAACCACGTTTTTTTGCTTATTTATTCGGATTTAAAACCATAAAAGCAAGTAGTGGATTTGTGTTTGGGGACAGGTAGTAGAAGAGAGGTTTTTTTTTTTTTTTTTTTTTCAATCATTGTATATGGGTAGGAAAAAAAAGTGAAGATAAACGGGCTTTGAGAAAGCATAAGAAAAAAGATATGAGATCAATGGTGCTTTTATTGCAAATTACGAGGATAGAAATTCAAATAGTTGGGTTTTGTTAGGGTTTGAGACATGATAGTCTAAGAAGAAGATACCTCAAATTTAACAACACGCTCGAATATGCGCATTTTATCGGATTAAGAGTTGTATTATTTATTTTTGAATGTCAAGTAAAAGAGTTAACAAAGTTATTTTTCAGCTAAGTCATAGAACATGTGACAAAATATTAGTGAAAAGACACAACAGAGACAAAAAAGGGAGGCATCAGTCCTACGACCAAGTCACCAATGATGGCTCCCATGACGCTACACCAACCCATTTATTAGTTTATATAATTGAATAATTTATCTCCACACCCATATAAGGTGGCTCCGGGTATGTTGTCCTGAAAATGATGTCTCCTTGATGTCTACTCCTTTGTTTATTTGACTCATGTATTACCACTTAACTCTAACCTAACTGTGTTAACTTTTACTAAACTGTAAAATTAAAGGTACCATAGCTGATGAAACCTTTTAGCATCCTAAGAAACCCTTCAACATCCTCCCCCAATCTATCACCGCAGCCACCATACCCAACCTCTCCACCATGCATTTCGGCCACGAGATGGATCGATTAGATTAGATATTATCAATCTGTCACCGCAGCCACCAACCCTAACCCTTCAGCATCCTCCCCCAATTGATCGATGTGATATTCTCAAATTTCAAACTTCACACATTGTTTGCTGGCTGTGAAAGGACGGATCGATCACATACCGACCGATTAGATATCCCAATTTTCAAACTTTAAACTTCACACGTATTGACGAGAGTACTGGAATTTGAAAAGAGAGAAGGGAAAGGAAAGAAAGCTTTGCCGCCGTGAGGAGCAGCATCGGCGGCGATGGGGTGGTGTCATTGGTGTGGTTGCAGTGGTCGGCGGCGATAGGTTGTGTGGTTGCAGTGGTCATCGGCAATGGGATTCTGTAGTCGCAGTGGATAGTTATCGAATAGGTTTTTATTTTCTTTAATTTTAATTTTTCAATTAGTTTATAAAAAAATTAACAGTTTAACATTAGTGTTAAATTAATAGACAAATGTCAAAAAATTAAGAACGAGACACAAATGGGACATCAAATTCGGGACAGCAGATCCCTGGCCACATAAGGTGGCCCACATTTATTATTTGTGATATTCCATTCCAAAATTTATTATTTATTTTTTGTATTTTGAATTTCTAGGTGTGTTTGGTTTTTATATATTTATCTTCCAGTCTTGAGAAAAGTGGTTTGATGGGTGTTTTGGTCATTTTACATTTCACTTCGGTGTTTGGAGGTGGGTTTAGAGGCATGATAGATGGAGAAATCATTGCAATCCCATAGCGCGACAGAATGACATTTTCTATATGTAACTGCTCTAACTTGATATCTTCTTTATATTTCTTTTCTATACTTTGAGCTATATGGCAATGTTAGTTGTGACTAGAAACTTTCTAAACTTTTCGAGTATTTGGATAAATATGTTACTTGTGATGAGAAACTCTCTTAAAAAAAAAATTTTGTGTACATGTGTGAAAAGCATGGGGTAATAGTGCTCAGCAATCATTCCATTATCATATTAAAATTAAAACAGGAAATTTACGAAGGAGGGGGACATAAAAGCAAACCTTGTTGAGGAAATATATAACAAGTAAGAAAGGGGAACCTAAAAGCCACCCCATGTACAAAGTAAAACAAATAGTAAAAACAAAATCATCTGAAACGATAATTGGTAGAAATAGAAAGATCATGACATAAGCAGAAGCTACACACATAAGGAAAACCATCAATTCAAAGGGATTGATAAAAATACCCTTAATTGAACTGAGATTTTTCACAGAATGACCAAAATGATTGATGGTGGACAATCTCAATGATCACTTCTATTGATTTTAAATTTAAGAACCAAAGTGAAAATTTATGTCAATCTTAGAAACTATTTTTAAAAAAAATTAAAAGGCTTACTAAAATATGAATATTACTTTCTTTCATTTGTATTTGTTAGATACTAACTCCAACTCTACACACACACACACACACACACGCTAAAAGAGAAAATGAACTGAAATATTGTTCATAAAGAAGTGTGATACCTATTTTGCCCTTACTTGCTTTGTTTATTTCGTTTGTGCCATGTTTCACACGTGCTGGTCATCAGGCACTGTTCTATAACAGTAAAATGGCAAAAATGTCCTTGCAATGCTACTCTGACTGCCTTTTGTTTTGGCTTCTCTATAATGAATTCTCAGTTTTGCCCATGCTGGCCACGCGTCCGTCTGCTTCCATACGATGTCGACGCGTTGGTCTTCTGGAGCCTTCCATCCTTTTCGATACATGTCTCATAAACGCTTTTCTTCCTCTCAATCCTCACGTTTTCTGGCTCACTAATCTTGGGTTCTCTCTCTCTCTCTCTCTCTCTCTCTCTCTCTCTCTCTCTCTCTCTCTCTCTCTCGCTAAGAAAAACGAACCAATCAAAATTTGTGCAGATATTTTTCTGAAAAAATGGATATGATATGTTGTTCTTCCTTCCTTCCTCCTCCCCATCCGTTGGACAACATCTCCTCCATTTCGACCTCTCCCTTGGAAACCCATCGGAGACCTCTTCAAGTTTCTTTGTCATAATCTTTGGAGAAAGAAATTTGATTTTTTTTTATTTTTTAAGTTTTTGGTTTGTGGGTTTTTTATTTTTTATTTTTTTTGCAGGTAAAGAGGTTTCTTTGTCAGAACCTCTGGAGAAAAAAATTTGATTTTGTTTTTAATTTTTTTTATTTTAAGTTTTTGGTTTGTGAGTTTTTAATTTTTTGGAGAACCTTGCATTTTGTGAGTTTTTTTTTTTCAGATTTTTATCTTGGTTTTAAAAAAAAAAAAAATTCTTCTGTTATATTTAAAAATATTTAAGCTTGGTTTGATTACGATTGTGCCTAAACAAACCTTTGGTTGCTTAACTTGGGACAAAATAATGTGTCGATTAACAAGTTCCGCTCCGCAAGCCAGCAGTCGCTCTTGCATGCTTAATCTTACAAATTTGACAATATTATCTTTTGAGAGAGTCCATTAGTTGCTCTGCTGCTGCTTTCCTTTACGAATCTGTCCATTTTCTATTTTTGTGGTTAAATTTTTGTATAATGTTATTGTGTGAGATTATGGTTATCTTATCATTTGTTTAGGTTATGATTTTTAGGCTCATCATTTCTGTGTTTCAGCTACGAACATTTCTGATATTGACTAAGGTATTAATCTCTTTGTCTCAAAAATTTGAAATCCTATTAGTTTAGCGAACTTTATATATTATTGGGCAATATGGTTATGCTTTCGTTGTGTCTGAGAGACAGAGCACTGATCCAGTTTGTGATCAATTGCATTTAGGGGTTTTGATTTGGTCATGATGTTGCAGATTGAGACAAGTTTTGGGAAAGAAAACACATTTAATTAAGTTTGGAGTTGATTTTGTTTGAGTTTAGAGGGGAAGTTCTCTAGCCGATTTGGGGTGGGTAATTTTGTGTTTACAACTATGAATTCTGTGCAAATTTCATTTTTTTGATTTTGGGGATTTTATTTCCAGGCTAGAATGCCGTCGTTTTCTAAAGCCCTCTGTGCTCAAGGTAAGAAATTTAAACTTTTGGTGGATTTGGAGTTTTGATTAAGTTTGATCACATTGTTTCGGTATAATAATTTACTTTGATTAAATTGGAGTTGCAGCTAAGTTCCATTGCGTTCTCGGATGAGTTGGTTTGTTCTAAGTTTCGGATAAAGAATTATTTCCATTTGGTTATATATACATTCAACTCCAAACATTATATAACCGAAGGTATGCAAGAATCAATGTTGATTTAAATAGACAGCATTATGTATGTATTAAAAAATATTTGACACCACAGTAAACCTATTTAACTATTGACTTATCAGTTTTGATCATTTTTCTCCCCTCAAACAAAATGCAAATTTAACTGTGCAAGGTCAGGAATATGCACCTGTCCTTGGGGTTTTCGGTTATGTGTTTTAATAGAATTATAGATTTGAGTAATTAGATATTTCAGTAAAGTTTTAACAATTTATGATGCTATTTGTAAAAATTGGTCAGGTATTTCTTTAACAACTATAATATCATTTAATTCCAATTCATAATTACTTATTTTTTTAATCTGTTAGTAAATTTTTATACTTTATGTCCAAATACATATATAGTAATGTATACATATAATTTATTAAGTTTTTTAATGTTGCTGATCATTTTGAGTGTGTTCATTTTGTGTGTAGAGAGTGAAAACTGCACTGCTCACAAAGGCAAAACAAGGAATAGCTTCTACATATGGGAATAAGAGTGGCTAGTTTGATCGTAATTGCTTTTTTGATTTGGTTAAATCAAAGTTAGGCTTGGGTCTAATTCAGTTGTTTGCTTGCACAGGTTGAAGTCGCTAGCTTTATAATGCTGGTGACTGAAATAAAACCCGAGTTCATGTTAAAATGATATCATAATTTTCATTATGGTGAGAACTGAGAACTTAGACCCATTTTTTATCTTTCCCATTTTTGAAATTTAGAAATTGAATTACTTTTTTTTTACCTTTTTGTGATCATGCATTGAGAATTTGTTAATTGTATTAATATTATGAGGTAGGATTTATACTTTCTAAGATCTATTTCTCATGTTTAGAGATTGCTTGATTCACTTAGATGTGATATAAGTTGATGTGTTTATACCTGTAAAACATAATTTTTCACACAATTTCTAACCCCGCAGAAGCGCATGCCAAACTTTCTAATAAAACCTAAAATTTAAATTTTAAATTCCTTCCAATTTGCTCCGACTCTTGGGTAAAACCACTGTTCTAAAAATCTCCGCCTAGCGCCGCCTATGCGCTAGACGGCTGGTCACCGCCTTGATTAATGCTTAGGCGTTTGAAAATTAAGAAAGGGCCCATAGACCTACTGAGGCACCCAGCCAGACCCACCTAGGCATCGACTCACTTAGGCAGAAAATAGATAACTTTCATTTTGCCTTTCATTTTTTTTTTCAATAAATTGTAAGAGACTTGTCGAATACTTAAATGTTTGTTCCCCATGTTTACATTATGTTCCAATTGTCACATCCCCGCCCGGGGTGGATCACTTCCCGAGCCCGCTTCACCACCGTAGCACGATATTGTCCGCTTTGGGCTTACCATTCCCTCACAGTTTTGTTTTTGGGAACTCACGAGCAACTTCCCAATGGGTCACCCATCATGGGATTGCTCTGGCCTTCTTCTCACTTAACTTTGGAGTTCCTACGGAACCTGAAGCCAGTGAGCTCCTAAAAGACCTCGTGCTAGGTAGGGGTGGGAATATACATATAAGGATCACTCTCCTAGGCGATGTGGGATGTTACAATCCACCCCCCTTAGGGGCCGGATGTCCTCGTCGGCACACACACGGCTAGGGTTAGGCTCTGATACCAATGTCACATCCCCGCCCAGGGCGGATCACTTCTCGGGCCCACTCCAACACCGTAGCACGATATTGTCCGCTTTGGGCTTACCATTCCTTCACGGTTTTGTTTTTGGGAACTCACGAGCAACTTCTCAGTGGGTCATCCATCATGGGATTGCGTTGGCCTCCTTCTCGCTTAACTTTAGAGTTTCTACAGAACCCGAAGCCAGTGAGCTCCCAAAAGGCCTCGTGCTAAGTAGGGATGAGAATATACATATAAGGATCACTCCTCTGGACGATCTGGGATGTTACACCAATACTTCATAATATACGTGTCATTCTATTTTGTAGTTTATGATGAAATTATATATATTTTAAGTATAAACATACACTTATTTACATGAAATATAATGGATTTAGTTAAATCCGCCTAGTCCGCCTATGCGCTAGGCCCTAGCTCGCCACCCGATTAGCACCTAACGTCCTTTAGAACCTTGGTAAAACTGATTTTTGACCGACAAATTTAACACAAGAAACCGGGTTAGGTTAAAAATTATGACCCACTCTGCGCGTGGACGCGCTGAGAAAGAGAGAAATCTGCACACTTTAACACGCTAAAAGGAAGCAACGCACCAAAAAGCAAGGGAAAAAGGGATTTGCTAAGAGGACTGGGGCTCAGCCTGATGGAGTTGTTGGCCACATGTGCAATCCCACTTGCTAGATTAGTGGACTTTATTTAGCCAAAGCAACCTTTTATTTCCTGGGAACTTCCAAGCGCCACCACCCCTCTTCCCGGCGGCCGAAGATGCATCTCATTTTTCTAGTGAGAACCGATGAAGAGGGTCATTGCCCAGCAATCTTAGGTTTGTTAAGAGCAGTTCCACCCTAAATACTTTACTCTAGCACCCAGAGTATTTATCCACTCAAGTGAACAGTAATAGACCTCAATGAATAGTAATAGACCAAAGCATCTCTACCCTTAAAACAAAAAATAGGCTCGTCAATTTTATTAAAATATTATTATTTTTTATTATCAAATAATAAAAATTAATTATTTTATTTTTAATTTTTGACTTAATTTTTTTTAGGGGGAAAAAACGTAGACCGTTGATCTGTGATCAAACGATCCAGTTTAAAAGTGAAATTCAAATTTTTTTTACCGTTGGAAATCCAACGACAGAAATTGGGCCACGTCGCCCACCTGGGGGAGATGTTAGTGCGCCTACGCCATTAGGCCCCGCCTCTGATTTTGTTGTTTGCTACTCGTGCGCCACGTGCCACGTGCCACTCGCAACAACACAAATGGCCCATCCCAAGGTCTGTCAAAAATGGGCTGGTCTGGAGACCAGCTTGGGCTGGTCTGGAGACCAGCTTGGGCTGGGTGTCAAGCAAACACACGGGCTGGAGTGAATTGACAGGGTACTAGCCTGGTTTTTTGACTGGGTGATGGGCTATTCCACCTCCGGTGGAACTGGTCTAAGGGGCTACACGAGACTGACATTAGGCTGTCGATATTGTGCTTGTTGATGGCTTCTTCTACTTCATCTGTTCCTGATTGGAAATATGATGTCTTCTTGAATTTTCGAGGCGAAGGCACTCGCAAGACCTTCATCGGCCATCTCCACAAAGCTCTGGTTCAGAACTCAATCAACACCTTGTATATCAGGTTTGCTTACAAAAGACTAATCATTGTATTCTCCTTGGCCTTTTAGGACACATTATATGTGTGAACTACATGTTTCTTTTGTTTCTTAAGGAAACAGAACTTTTTTGGAAACCATCTCTTTCTAATCAAAGACTTTCAGTTTCTTCCCACTCATTGTACAATGTGTTTATATGCCAGCTTTGTGTTGAATTTATTCAATTTAAATGTGTTTTATTCATCCGATTACGCCTGAAATAGCTGGTTCCCATTGATTAGTTTATATAATTGAGTAATTTATCTCCACACCCACAGAATGTGGACCACATTTGTTTTAAGGTGTAACTGGAATATAAAGTTTATACAAAAACTAATGAGTGAAGAGTTATCATTATTGGGTTTAAATAATTTTTTTTTAATCAAGTCTTCTCAAAAAAGATTGATCTGATTTAAAAGTTGTTCATCTATATTTGTGATATTCCATTCCAAAATTTATTATTTAATTTTTGTATTTTGAATTTCTATGTGTGTTTGATTTTTATTTATTTATTTTTGAGCCGTGAGAAAAGTGGTTTGATGGGTGTTTTGGTCATTTTACATTTCACTTCGATGTTTGGAGGTGGGTTTAGAGGCAAGATAGAGAAATAATTGCGATCCCATAGCGCAACGGAATGCTCTAACTTAATATCTTCTTTATATTTCTTTTCTATATTTTGAGCATTTTGACTCTATGGCAAGTTAGTTGTGACTTAGAAACTTTCTAAACTTTTCAGAGTATTTTGATAAATATGTTGCTTGTGATGAGAAACTCTCTAAATTTTTTTTTTTTTTTTTTGTGCATGCGTGAAAAGCATGGGGTAATAGTGCTTAACAATCATCCCATTATCATATTAAAATTAAAAGAGGAAATTTACGAACAAAGGGGACATAAAAGCAAAACTTGTTGAGGAAATAACACAACAAGTAAGACCGCAGGGGAACCTAAAAGCCACCCATGGACAAAGTAAAATAAATAGTAAAAAAAAATCATCTAAAACAACAATTGGTAGAAGCTGAAAGATTATGACATAAGTAGAAGCTGCACGCATAAAGGAGTTTTGGATCACCAATAATATGCATCATGATCAATTCAAATGAATTAACAAAAATACCCTTAATTTAACCAAGATTTTTCACAGAATAACCAAAATGATTGATGGTAAACAACTTCAACCATCACTTCTATCGATTTAAATTTAGAAAACCTTAGAGACTATTTTAAATAAAAATTAAAAAGATTAGTAAAATATGGACGCGCTGAGAAAGACAGAAAGTTGCGCTCTTTGACGCGCTAAAAGGAAGGCAACGCGCCAAGAAGCAAGGGAAAAGGAACATGCTGAAGGGACTGGGGCCCAGCCCGATGGGGTTACCGGCCAACATGTGCCGTCCCACTTGCTTAGTGGACTTTATTTGCCCAAAGTGACCCTTTCTTTCCTGGCAACTTCCAAGCGCCCCCCTGGAGATGCATCTCATTTTTCTAGTGAGAACCAATGAAGGGGGTCGTTGACCAGCAATCTTGAGTTTGTTAAGGGGCTACTTGAGAATCACATTAGGCTGTCGATCTTGTGCTTGTTGATGGCTTCTTCTTCTTCATCTGTTCCTGATTGCAAATACGATGTCTTCTTGAATTTTCGAGGCGAAGACACTCGCAAGACCTTCATCGGCCATCTCCACAAAGCTCTGGTTCGGAACTCAATCAACACCTTCATTGACGCTGAAGAGCTCAGAAAGGGCAACGGCCTTTCGCAGCTACTGACGGCTATAAGCGACTCGAGGCTTTCGGTTGTAGTTTTTTCTCCAAACTACGCTTCTTCCACATGGTGCTTGAAAGAACTCGTCCAAATCCTGCAGTGCATGGATCAGAAGAAGCAGATTGTGATTCCCATCTTCTACGAAGTAGACCCAGCTGATGTTCGTAAAATCAAGGGAAGTTTTGAGGAAGCATTTTCTAAACATGAACATGATCCTAACGCCGACATGGAAGAAGTGCAGCGGTGGAGGTCCGCTTTACAAAGAGCCCCCGATTTATGTGGCTGGGATTCACAAAATTACCAGTAACTCATTCCCTCATAATCTTATTCACTTAGTAGTTTAGAAGTTTAGCTAATTTCCTGTTTTGGTCGTTTTAGTTTTGAAGAAAATTCTTATTTCGTTTATAGTCGCTAATTTCCTGTGGTTATCATTAATGTTAATACAACTGGAACCAAGACTTCCTTCCCAACCCTCTACAAAATTGAATACTCACCAACTCTCTGCAAAACTTTCCACCACCACACCTAGATATTTTCCATGAGAAGGGAAGAGGAAACTAATATAAAAAATTAGGGGCCTTTGATATTGATCTTGCGGTGAAGAATTCACTTATTTTTATTTACTTTTTCACATGGGACGATGTCGTTTGTACAAAATCTCTTAATTTTCTCCCTCTTTCATGATGAGGAAAGAGCAGGTGTGAGAAACAGAGAGGAGACATAATGTACAAAAGACGTCGTCCAACATTAATAAGTAAAAAAAGAACAAGTTAAATTAATTCTTCAAACCGCAAGATCAAAATATATGGCCGCTATTAAAAGGTCTATAAAACATCTGGAGAGGATATAGATGACTAGTTCTCTTATATGTTGATTGAACTTAGAAGAGTGCATCGAGTAAATGAAAGAAGAATAAACTCCTGAGAATTGTTGGGTCGTTACTTTGTGTTTTCAATGACAGTGTGATGAGTGTTATATAACTAGCAATCGCAGGACTTGACAATATTGTTTTTTCAAATTTCGCAGGGATGATGCCAAGCTTGTTGAGTTGATTGCAGATGATATTTTTAAGAAAGTGATCAACATCCCATCAAGTGAAAAGAATGGCTTGGTTGGAATGGATTCCCGCTTAAAGAAAATGGATTCACTATTATGTCCCGAGGTTGATAACGTTGGCTTTGTTGGAATATGGGGTATGGGCGGTATAGGCAAAACCACCATCGCTAGAGCTGTGTATGATAAAATCAATCATCACTTCGAAGGTCGTTGCTTTCTTGAAAATGTGAAGCGACGTTTTCCCTCAACTGATGCAGGTGAAGCGCCACTAGATATGCAGGCAGAAATTCTATCTAGTATCACAGATATGAAGGTGGGGAGTTCAGAGATTTTGAGAAATGGTTTTCAGAAGATGATGGAAAGAGTTGGTAAGAAAAAAGTTTTACTTGTTCTGGATAATGTGGAGAGTTCATCCCAAATTGAAGCCTTAATTGGAAAGCAACCTTCATTTGGTGGCGGAAGTCGAATCATTATAACAACTAGAGATAAACAGTCACTAAGTAGACTTGGTGATCAGATATATGAGGCCGAGTTGTTAAATGACGATGATGCTCTCAAGCTGTTTAGGCAGTATGCTTTGAGTACAAAGCAACCCACAGAAGAATACATTGATCTGTCGGGCCATTTCATAAAATATGCTCAAGGTTTGCCTTTAGCACTCAAAGTCTTGGGAGCATTTCTCTTTGACAAAAGTGTACTTGTGTGGAAAGATGAGTTAAAGAAAATAGCGAGAAACCCGCACCCGGGAATCCAAAAAGTCCTTAGAACAAGCTATGATGGACTAGATGATTTGCAGAAGGAAATATTTCTTGATATTGCATGTTTCTTTAAACAAATGAAGAAAGACTTGGCAACAAGGATTATGGAGGGTTGTGACTTCCATCCCCATACCGGATTAGACGTTCTAGTTGGTAGAGCTCTTGTCACTATCTCATCTGATGGTGTACTCGAGATGCATGATTTAATAGAGGAAATGGGTCACCAAATCGTACGCCAGGAATATATAAAGGAGCCTGGAAGGCGCAGCAGATTGTGGAGCTGTGAAGATGTTCATTATGTGCTAAATAAAAAAAACGTGAGAAATACGCTCCCGTCAGCTCCATTAATGTAATTGCATTGAATCTTTTCTCTCCCAGTAATATTAGTAAATTTTAAAATAATAATAATAATAATAATAATACTTTTGGTACTGTTCACTTTTAACAAAAAACCACATTTTTACATTTTCCTAGTACTATTCACTTTTATTTGCCATTTTTCATTAAAATAAAGTTTGTTTGAATTTTTTGTTAGTTTTCCTTAATAATAAAAGTAAAGCTTCAACTTTGACCAAAATGCAATTCATGAGAACCATGTGCATTGGGCGTTTTAATCTTAAGTTTGTACTCATTCAAAGTGCAATTTTGATAATCCAGGCTATGGAAGCAGTTGAAAGCATAATTGTGCAATGGCCACACTCAAACAATGTGGTGGAATTAGATATCGCCCTTGCTCAAATGCCAAAACTAAGACTACTCAGAGTCCATACCCACTGTTTACTACCAGAGGGCGAGCCGGCCGATGATCACTGGCAATACGAGAATCTAAAGTTTCTCTCTGAAAAACTAAGTTATCTGTTTTGGAACAAATGCCCCCTAAAGTCTTTATCATCCAATTTTAACCCAGAGAATCTTGTTGAAATTGACATGCAATGTAGTTGGGTTGAACACCTCTGGAAAGGAACTGAGGTACGTTCATCATTTGCCTATATACTGCTTTTAAATGGTTTAGTTTTTAAATGCCTTATTATGTATGTAACACATATTTTCCTTGATGTATATTGACAGCGTCTTGGAAAGTTGAAAATTATCAATTTAAAAGGCTCTTATCGTCTTAAGGAAACGCCGGACTTCGCTAAGGCAAAGAATCTTGAGAAGCTAATTCTTGGTGGATGCACAAGTTTATATGAGGTTCACCCATCCATTTCTGCCCTTGAAAAACTTGTCCTCTTGGATCTAAGTTGGTGCGGCGAACTCAAGTCCTTTTCAAGGAACATTTGTATGAAATCTCTTGAAACCTTTGATCTCTCTTTTTGCTCAAAACTTGAGAAGTTTCCAGAGATTTCCAAAGTTATGGAGAAGCTTTCAAAGCTTTATTTGCAAGGGACTGCAATGAAAGAACTGCCTCGATCAATTAACAACCTTACAGGGCTTGTTACTTTGAATCTTGAATATTGCAGAGAACTTGAGATTCTTCCAAGTAGCATTGTTCAACTCAAGTCCCTGCAACTTCTTAATCTTTCTGGTTGTCCAAAGCTCAAGGCCTTTCCAGAAAATGTTGGAAATATGGAAAGATTAAGAGAGCTTCGCTTGGATGAGACTTCTGTTGAAGGCCTTGCCCCATCAATTTCATCTCTTCAAAACCTTGAGATTTTGAGTCTAAGGCAATGCAAGAAACTTCATAGTCTTCCAAGCAACATTCATATGAGATCTCTTCGAACCCTTAATCTTTCCAGCTGCTCCAATCTGTATAATTTTGCACAAATTCCTGAAGTTATGAACCTATTAGAGCTTAATTTAGATGAGACTGCAATTTCAGAACTGCCCTCGTCCATCAAAAACTTTACGGGACTCGTTACCCTAAGCCTGAAGGATTGCAGAAGATTAGAGATTCTTCCAGGCAGCATTCATATGAGATCTCTTCAAGCCCTGAATGTTTCTGGCTGCTCAAATCTGAGGAATTTTCCAGAGTTTCTAAAAGTTACGGAGAACCTAACAGAGCTTCATTTAGATTGGACGCTAGTTGCGGGAGTCTCTCCCGGCCGAGAAAATTTTAAGTTTTCAGGGATTGCAATTGAAGAATTGCCATCCATAATTTATAGTCTTACGGGGCTTGCTACCTTGACGCTACGGTATAGCAAAGACTTTGAGAGTCTTACAAGCAGCATTTGTCGGCTCAAGTCCCTAAATTATCTCTCTCTTTCTGGTTGTACAGAGTTTAAGGTGTTTCCAGACATATTAGAAAATATGGAAAGATTAGCCAGCCTTGATTTGGATAACACATCTATCAGAGAGCTTCCTGCATCAATTGAACGGCTTCAGGGGCTAGTGTCGTTAAATCTGAAAAACTGCAAAAGCCTGGTCTATCTTCCGAACAGTATCTGCAATTTGTTAAGTCTCGAATGGCTCACTCTCAATGGGTGCTCAAAACTTTCGAAGTTGCCTGAAGATTTATGGTATTTGAAGCGCCTTGACATAAAGGGAACTGGTATACATGGTTACTGCCCAGAACAGCAATTCATCAATTTGGGGGGTTTGGCTCAGTTTCGAAGCACTGCACCTAAGATTAATGCAATGGTCCCAAACATTGAGCAAAATGAGGCGGTGGCTGATGTTGAATCCCGCCTCCCCTGGATGTGGCGCCATGTGGAAGAGAGGCAGGATCTATGCGGAAGTCAAGCTATGTGGAAGAGATATGTGGAAGGGAAGGGGCGCTATGTGGAAGAGAGGCAGCAGGATATTGCGGAATCAAGCTATGTGGAAGAGATGCGGCGTTATGCGGAAGAAGCGGCAGCGGAAAGGCGCTCTGCGAAAGAAGTGGAAGAGATGCGGTGGCGCTTTGCGGACGCCGCCGAAACTCTGCGGAAGAGATGCGCCTCCGCGAAAGAGATGGAGCGGCTCTCTGCGAAAGAAGCGGAAGAGATGCGGCATTTGGAAGAGAAGTGGCAGCGACATTTGGAAAAGATCAAACGTTGACGTTTAGGGCTGGGTTTTACCCTAAAATGCCTGGGTACCTGTTTCTAAGGGGTAATCCTATTTAAACTCATTTGTTTTCATTTCACCCATCGATGTGGGACTGCCAACAAATTTTTCATCACATTTTGACTGATCCTGAGGAGTCAAGCTATTTGGAAGAGATGATGCAGCGACGTTGACGTTTGGAAGAGGAGGCAGCAATGTCTGGAGTTCCTTGAGGTAGAGGGAACTGTAGCATCTCTCTCTTTAAAAACGATAATTTCTCAGCACTTAAGGGTATTTGGATCAGTGTCAGAGCACTGCACCTTTGAGTGATATGGTGGAATCAAGCTACGGGGAAAAGGAGGAGGTGGCTGTTAAGGCAATATTGAGTGATCTCAAGCAGTCGAGACATGAGGAAGAGAAGGAGAAGGCGGTGGCAGCCTCAAGGAGAGGTGGAGGGATATGGGGTTGTATCTGTGGGTCACGGGGTGATGGGGATTGAGGTATTTAGCGCATCATCACTGATATAGTAGCAAGACTAAAGGACCTGCGAGAGGGAAGAAATGGTGATTTTGTGTGGTAAGAGTTTGCGACTCCTTCGTGTTTTGAGTTGGTTTCTGCTTCTGAGAGCTCTTTTATTTAGTTTTTTGCTTTTTGGGGTATTTCTTGCTTCACCTGCGGTTGGTACGTGGTAAGTATTTACTTATCCGTATGTGTTGTAAAGTTGTTTTTTCTTTCTCTTCGATCAGGTAATGTATTGTTAGTGATTAAGCCTTGAATTGGAAATGGATGGCTGAGATTAAACTAGCTCATAAGCTAGGATTGTGCCGGCTGTCATAGTAGCTGACTTTGTTTTAGATGTACTCGTGCAAGACACGAGTATGAGAAGCATGTGATGCATGTGAAGTTTGTGACGGTTTCTTCTTGTATTCTCTCTCAGCTTGCGTCCTCTTGTTCCGGGTCATGGAGCTGCAATGGGCGGTGATCTGGGCAATTAGAAGGGACTAAGGGGTGTGATACCCAAAAAAAAGTTGTGATAATCAGCTCCTCGATGTTTCTAGTAAATTTTAGGAACGACGTTGATTAATTTTCAACTTCAAAGACTAAGGTGACGAACAACGTCACTTTCAAGGATTATTTATGATAAAAATCCAAACTATCTCAAACATGCATTTTTCACATAATTCATTACTATGTAGTATTAAGGCAAAATTGCAAAAAATTGCTTAAAAAAAAAAACAAATAATAATAGACCAATAGAAGGTGATCCTCCTAACATTCTTTTCACTGAAGAATTTCAAAACAAAAATCAATTTAATTTATTATTCAAATTTGCTACATGTAAATTGTAATCGTTAAAATGGCTCGACAATGAATGCTTATAATTTGTTTGTTAATCAGAATTTGTGGCTGCCACAATCTAATCAACTCAAAGCTTTTCCCTTCCTTCTGCCATAAACTGTGTCAGCCAACAAATCCAATTGCTGTAGGAATCTACCATTAGTAAAAGCTCCCTGAAACTTTTAGAGGAAAAAGGCACCGTGTAAGCAGAAACCTACGCAATTCGGAAAAGCCGAGAACTCAATAATCCTAGACCCAAAACTATACCTCTAAACTATAAGCTGAGAACCAGAGCAACCATGACGATAAGTATGCATGGCCTTGCAACAACACCAGCTGAGGTCGACCTGCAGGAATCACGAAACTGAAGTCAGTATCGATACAGGTAACCAAGTTCTTCGGTTTATATTACACCGAAACACATGAATGCTTTAAAACAATATGTAGTATTGATAGATTGAAACCTAGAAGCCACCACCGGACCCAAATCCCTTGTAAATTTCATTTCTTTCTTTTTCCCATCAAGTTTTGTTATATGAACAAGCTTGCAGGAAAACAGGATACCTGCTACGTAGCTGGTCCTATATAGATATACATGTATGAAGGGTTACCTTGTTACAAGCTCCTTTACTGACTCAGTTTCCAGTCCGAACCCAAACGGGAAAAGTGGATCAGTGTGAATCACCAACATTCATTGGGAGTTGATCGACAGTTTTGAACCATGTTCTTGGAAGCTTTCCACTGAATCCATGATCCCCAAAAAGGACATCAGTAATGCCTTGGCCTTCAGAGCCCGGCAACCATGCTGCCACCAGAGCACCAATCGAGGAAACATATGGTTCTATTACAATAGGTCTGCCAGTTATTACGATAACAATGCACTTGACACTTTCACACACATTGCTGATGATACTTGGGCCAGGTTCCGCCATCGTTAGGTTTGGGCTGTCTCCCACGGTCTCAGCATAAGGATGCTCGCCAACCACAACGATGGCATATGCAAAGTTGTTGGACTTCACAAAATTACCATCAGGATTCTCACTGTAGATAACTTCTGTGCTTGAGTTGACTGCTGATTTTATAGCACCAAAGATCGTAGTCCCTAATCATGAAAAGGAAGTTTTATGAAAAATACAACCAAGATTAGATACATTTATGTACGAACATCCTATACGCACGAGTATATATTTCCATACATTCTAATAACTGTGAAGACGATTTTCTTGTTGCAACTAACCAGCACCTGTGTAGTCTTCTTATTAAGTGCATAATGTTCTATTTTTTGAATATTCAATTCTATCATTTTATTGTAGAGCACAAAAGTAGTGCACATAGACAGAATATTATGTATTTAATACAGCGATGAAAGCAGACTATACCGGTTGTATAATTGTTGCCACTGAATCCTTGCCATGCAATTGTCCATCCACCACACTGGTAGCCCAGATTATCAGCATGACTGCCGGCGACTAGAATTTTAGACACCTTCTTGGGAAGAGGTATGACTGGATCTGTAATGTTCCTGCTTTTCCCATTCTTCAAAAGCACGACAGATTTTCTGACAGCCTCCCTTGCCAAATCTCTATGATCCTGGTAATGTTAAATTAAAATACAAAAATGATTGATTCATGTCAGAAAATCAATAAATACAAAACTTACTAAGCAGTCTTTTGGCCATTGAATGTAACACCAATTTCAAGGGTATGTCCATTCTAATTTTATCGAACTATATACATCAATCAAATGACCAATAGGAGGGTTGCAAATCCTGATATTTGATTATCTCGGATAAACTGACCTGGCTTCCAAGCTCATGTCGTAGGCTGAAATCAGACAACGGGTTCTCAAAAAGACCCATGGTGAACTTGACAAGCAGAATCCTTCCCGCAGCATCGCCAATACGATCTATTGGGACAACGTTATTCTTGACCAGGTTAATGAGATCATTAATGAATGCTTTATAGTTGATAGGGACCATGACCTTCAAAAAAAAGAGAACCATTTTCAGAGTTTTATAATTTCGAACCAGAATAGAAAAGGAGTTTTATATAGTGTAATAGAGACGCTATTGTCTTCTTTCATTTCTGTAAGAGGTCTTTATATAAAATAAGCCACGAACCATGTCAGTTCCAGCTAGAACTGAAGCTTGGACAGAGTATGTGTAGTTTGAATGTGGCGACGAGGTAATCCTATCAATACCCTCCCAGTCTGATATAACAAAACCCTGAATGTTCAACCAAAAACACCATGTGCTGTTAGCATGAAACAGTGCAGAACACAGATAAAGGTACAATACAGTCACCAAAATGAAGCACCTATTGTGAGACCGATAACAACCAGAACTCGGGATCAGTAATATTATTGAGTTATCAACTTATCACAAATACCTTAATTTCATATTGAATCTGAAATTTCAACTCATTAACACAGATGAAGCTTAAAGAACCTAAAAAGTGGGAACTGATGCAAAACAGGATAAATCATATAACTGATGTATGCTAGGCACTTTAACTGTATCAAGAGAAATGCGCAAAAACTGCATCTGAGAATTTGCAGGGATATCACCCTGTAAACCTGGAATGATCTCCGTCATTTCTTGCACAATTTTGTGATCTTTACTGTAGCTTTTGTAACACCAACCCCATCTTGGATCTCTACATACCTATACAGGATGTTCCAGGCAACGCACAGAAGTCATCAGATGGAAAAAATATGAATCCACTCAAAGGACATTGTTAACCATGTAAAAGAAGAAAATGCTGAACGCATAAATCCTTTTGCAATGTATTATTTACTGCAATGCAAGAAGCAAATACATAAGGAATCCCCGTAGCTCGGGCTTCAAGAGCAGTTGCTGAACCAATTCTTCGTACCAGTTCAGGGTCCCCGTGTACTGGAGATATTTAATAGAAAGAAGACACATTCAATGAACTATAAAACGGAAAACATCTAAAAGGATTAATGCATGGTTAGTTATTTTAATACTTGCTGAAGTATAATACAAATTTACTTGTAAGGATTTGACCCTAATGGGACCTTGTTGTAGTTATACAGTTACAGAGTGCTGCTTTTAAATGACGGTGATAGATCTCATCCTTTGTGTAAAAATAGAACAATGCACTATCATGTTTTGAAATGAAGCAAATAGAACCTGTTACCTTGTTACAAGCTCCTTTACCGACTCAGTTTCCAGTCCAAACCCAAATGGGAAAAGTGCATCATACTGTGAATCACCAACATACATTGGTAGTCAATCGACAGTCCTGAACCATGTTCTTGGAAGCTTTCCATTGATTCCATGATCCCCAAAAAGGACATCAGTAATGCCTTGGCCTTCAGAGCCTGGCAACCATGCTGCCACCAGAGCATCAATCGAGGAAATATATGGTTCAATTACGATAGGTCTGCCAGTTATTAAGATAAACAATGCACTTGACACTTTCACACACATTGCTGATGACACTTGGGCCAGGTTCCACCATCGTTAGGTTTGGGCTATCTCCTGCAGTCTCAGCATAAGGGTGCTCGCCAACCACAACAATGGCATATGCAAAGTTATTGGACTTTACAAATTACCATCAGGATTCTCACTGTAGATAACTTCCGTGCTTGAGTCGACTGCTGATTTTATAACACCAAGGATCATAGTCCCTAATCATGAAAAGGAAGTTTTATGAAATATACAGCCAAGATTAGATTCATTTATGTACGGACATCCTATACGCACGTTTCCATACTTTCTAATAACTGTGAAGACGATTTTCTTGTTACACCTAACCAGCACTTGTGTAATCTTCTTATTAAGTGCTTAATGTACTATTTTGTGAATATTCAATTCTATCATTTTATTGTAGAGCACAAAAGTAGTGCATATAGACAGAATATTATGTATTTAATATAGTGATGAAAGCAGACTACACCGGTTGTATAATTGTTGCCACTGAATCCTTGCCATGTAATTGTCCATCCACCACATTGGTAGCCCAAGATTATCAGCATGACTGCCGGCGACTAGAATTTTAGACACCTTCTAGGGAAGAGGTATGATTGGATCTGTAATGTTCCCGCTTTTCCCATTCTTCAAAAACACGATGGATTTTCTGACAGCCTCCCTTGCCAAATCTCTATGATCCTGGTAATGTTAAATTAAAATACAAAAATGATTGATTCATGTCAGTAAATCAATAAATACAAAACTTACTAAGCAGTCTTTTGGCCATTGAGTGTAACACCAATTTCAAAGGAATGTCCATTCTAATTTTATCGAACTATATACATCAATCAAATGACCAATAGGAGGGTTGCAAATCCTGATATTTGATTATCTCGGATAAACTGACCTGGCTTCCAAGCTCATTGACTAGGCTGAAATCAGCCAACGTGTTCTCAAAACGACCCATGGTGAACTTGACAAGCAGAATCCTTCCCGTAGCATCATCAGTACGATCCATTGGGACAACGTTATTCTTGACCAGGTTAATGGGATCATTAATGAATTCTTTATAGTTGATAGGGACCATGACCTTCAAAACACAGAGACCCATCTTCAGAGTTTTATAATTTCGAAAGAAATTATCTTCTTTCATTTCTGTAAGAGGTTTTTATATAAAATAACGAGCTAGAACTGAAGCTTGGACAGAGTATATGTAGTTCGAATGTGGCGGCGAGGTAATCCTGTCAATACCTTCCCAGTCTGATATAACAAACCCCTGAATGTTCAACCAAATACACCTTGTGCTGTTAGCATGTAACAGTGCAGACAACAGGTAAGGGTACAATACAGTCACCAAAATGAACCACCTACTGTGAGACCGATAACAACCAAAACTCGAGATCAATAGTATTATTGAGTTATCAACTTATCACAAATACCTTAATTTCATATTGAATCTGAAATTTCAACTCATTAACACAGATGAAGCTTAAAGATGCTAAAAAGTCGGAACTGATGCTAAACAGGATGAATCATATAACTGATGCAGTACTGATGTATGCTAGGCACTTCAATTGTATCAAGAGAAATGCGCAAGAACTGCATCAGAAGGTTGTTTGAATGTATTATGATGGCTACAAAGACAATAATCTGTAATGCCAACATAGGCAGTCAAAAAACAACAATAACAACTAAGCCTTATCCCACTAAGTGGGGTTGGCTGTATGAAATATGAAGATGACGTTAGAGGGGGAATGCGAGAAAGTATGTAAATGCAGCAAACCCATCCATAGACACTAAAACAGGAAATATGGGAAAGTGAAGAATCATGCTAATCACTGAGCAATGTCCAAGAAAACCTGACCACATTAATGTGTAATGTGGAAGTAATTTGAATTTGATTAGATAATACCGGAGGTATTAAAACCCAACATATGGGAAATACACAATGCTGAGAAAGGCAACGAAAGCAGATAAAGCTGACAGCATTTGAAGAATAAGAAGAGATTGAGGGCAAGGACAGTTATAAGCAGTCAACTAGTCACGATTAAGAGCATATATTTTGAAAATCTGTAATTTAAGCTACGGTATGTCAAGAAAGAGAAAACCACACAAACAAAAGTAATGATAATTGCAATATGCAAAGGTTTTGGTGCCAGAAACCTTTCTTTGAATTCATGGTAAGATTTTAACACTAGGCATGCTTGTTTCGTGCTTACATCAAATCTCGGTACATAGATGAGACATGATTCCACTTTATATCTATCAGAGAGCTTCCCGCATCAATTGAACAGCTTCAGGGGCTAGTGTGGTTAAATCTGAAAAATTGCAAAAGCCTGGTCTATCTTCCGGACGGTATATGCAATTTGCTAAGTCTCGAATGGCTCAGTCTCCATGGGTGCTCAAAACTTTCGAAGTTGCCTAAAAACTTATGGTATTTGAAGCACCTTGACATAGAGGAAACTGGTATACATGGTTGCCGCCCAGAACAATTCATCACGTTGGGTGATTTGGCTCAGTTTCGAAGCACTGCACCTATGATTAACGCCATGGTCCCAAACAATGAGCAAAATGAGGCGGTGGCTGATGAGGAATCCCTCCTCCCCTGGATCGATGATTCAGAAATTTTGACTGGTCCTGAGGAGTCAAGCTATGTGGAAGAGATGAGGCAGCGACATTGGGAGTTTCTTGAGGTAGGAGGGAGTACGCTAGAGGGAAGACAACAATCAAGGATCAACGGGTTCCCACCCAAAACGACAAACTTTCAGCACTTTGGGGTATTTGGATTAGAATCAGAGCACTGCACCTTTGAGTGAGATTGTGGACTCAAGCTACAAGGAAAAGGAGGCAGTGGCTGTTGAGGCAATTTTGAGTGATATAAAGCAGTCGAGACATGAGGAAGAGAAGGAGGAGAAGGGTGTAGCAGCCTCAAGGAGAGGTGAGGTTGCATCTGTGGGTCATGGGGTAATGGGGATTGAAGTATTTGGCGCATTACTTTAGTCGGGGAAATCGCACTATTCATATGAATAGTGTTTTGTAAGACATTTCAGTTTATTTACAAGACTACCACTGGCTCTCTCTGCCGCTAATCTTGATGCATACGTGTTGATGATCGTGGGAAGGAAGAACGATGGTAAAGACGGTCTTTTCCGTTTCCTTCTCAAACCCTCCTTGCCTCTTCCGTCTCACAGACCCCACAAGAACGACACAAACGGTCTCGCGTCCATCCTATCCTCCTCTCACCGCCGTCTGCCTTCCCTCGCCTATTTCGTCTTACTCCATCGTTTGCGTCATGGAGGCCCGTGCGTGGTTTTTTGGGTGGGGATTTCAGATTTCAAGGGGGAGAGAGGTTGTGCTTCGTTTCGATCGGATCGAGCCTCTATCATTCGATTGGATCAAGGTGATGGGGACAACGCGAGAGGTTGAGGGAAGCCGGCTCTAAGACTCTGCATCTCTCACTTTCTCATCTCTCAAACCATTTCTCTCTCTCCTATCTCTCCCACTGTCTCCGTCTCTCGGCTTTCTCGCTCACTCTATGTCCACTGAAATTTCAAGGTGATTTTCCAACCCTAAATTGATATATTCCATACCTTGATTTGATCTTAATTTATCTGGAATTGATCTGCATATGTGTAGTATAGATAATTTTATCTAATGTTATAGAATCCATGTCCTATTTGGAAATTCTGAAATTGCGATTCTACTATCTCAGCTATTTGTAAAGGCTTGATTTTTAATGTTAATGCATCTGAAAATGGCGTGATGTGTGTCGTTAAGCGAGTTAAGCTGCATGATTTTCAGTTATTGATGTCTGTTTGTATGTTGTTTGATTGGTCTTGAATTTTTTGTATCGTTGTTTATTGTTTTCTTTGCCCTGATTGTTCTCGAACAGAAAGATTCAGGTGGAAAACGGGTGAAATTAGCAAGATCCAGTAATGAAAATGGCAGTTTGAAGGCTGAAGTCGAAGAAACTTTAGCTGCTGGTGACAACAAGCCAGCTGAAGAAAGCTCTAAACCTTCCGAGCCACCCAAGCAAGACTATATCCATGTGAGGGCAAGAAGGGTACAAGCTACATATAGCCACAGTCTAGCCGAGAGAGCAATGCACTTTTGGTCCTTTTAAATTTTCAATATAAGAGTCTAGAACATCAATTATGGTTGCATGTTCTTAGTCAAGCTCTGTAGTTCTCGATAGGGAATAGGTTTCTGTTTTATTCTTGGATTGCCAATTGAGGATATAGCTGCAATTCAAATTCAGACTGCTTTCCTTGCACATGTTGGTATGTATGTGTGCACTAAAATCTTCAAAATATAAATTTCCAGTTTCATTCTCTCCCTCAAGAACATTATTAGAAGAAATTAAAGATTATTTTTTGTTCTGAGTATGAGTGCTATTTGTGTTTCTTTCATTGCTAAAAAGTATGAGACATAGTTCTGCAAAACTTAATTGATGACCGTATGAAAGCTATGAAAGAACTCTCCGAATAATTCTTTGAATCTGGTTCAGTGTTATCTTAGATATGCATACAATCATTATTTGTGAGATAATTGGTTGCAGGGCTGGCTTTTAGCTGTTTGTTTGTTGATAAATTACATATGATTCTGAAGGAATTATATATGATTTGTGAGGTTTGAGGTCAACATCAATATCCATGGCCTGTCACGATCCCCCATTGTACCATATGGCCATACAATTTGGCAAAATTATGATTCATTCAACTACTTCTTTTTGTCTTTGTTTGATCTTTGTTTCACTGTGTTTTGCAGCCCATGGAATACTCTTCCCAAACTTAAGACACTTAATCAGTAAGCGAGTGAACGACATAAGTTTCTAAATTACAGGTTAGTTATCCATTTTTGAAAATCCTGTGCAGAGTAGTTGATAGATGTTATGTTATTTGAAAGTTCATATTGTTGTCATTGTGTTGTGCTTGCTGTGATTTGCTTAGCTTAATTATAAATTATGGGTGGTTGTTTCAGTTTTATTCATCTTAGAGCCATTCACTATAGTTAATCAAGTTTCATTCTTTAGATAGACTAACCATTTTTGCCATTTTGCTGTTTGTGCAGAAAGGTGATATCTCATTACAAGGAACTCTCTCCAACCGAACTCAGTCCAAAAGAACATTTGCTACTCTTAAAAGCATTATGTGGACTCCAAGCTCAAGTCAATCCTTAATTTTCATGTATTTTTTATTTCTTTATGTCTAGGTGGTTTACATGGTTTTTAACCATGAAATCACCTAACTTTATGTTTGCAATTGTGTTGTTTCTGATTGTTGACATCAATCGAAACACTATCATTTAGGTTATTAGATTTTATGCTAACATATTCATTTTAGTAACTACCACTTGCTTTGATACATTGTAAATGCTATTTCTGTGACAAGAAAATAACCTTATTTCCCGTTTAATAAAACTATTTAGTAATTGGAAAAACTGTTTGTTTAATGTGTTCAACATGTTGTAATATTTTAATGTTGGAAACCATTGGCTGTGAATCTTTTGGAAGAAATTAGCCCCATGAAGTAATAAAACAAGTTCATTTATGGAGGAATGAGATTGAATTGCTTGCTTTGCTCAAGCAATTATGTTTAGATTAATGGATGTTAGAGTGCATTTTGAAACCTAAGTAAGTTATGGATTCATTTTCGTAGTGAATCTCAAATAATCAGTGTGCGGAAAAATGATCTCTTAGTTTCAATTTAAATACTTATGGAAAGTTAGAGATCTGTTGTGCATGTTGGAAATTCAGAGTAGTAGCACTTTTGCATGCTACACACTACGACCTATAGTTCCTTTAATATTTTTGAACCAATGATATTACATTTGTTATATCTGTTTGGTTCCCTATTTCTATAGTTACAGATGTGATTAGTGTGCATTTGGTTTTGCTTGGTTGGGGTATAGGTTTAGTTGAAATAGTATTGGTTTTTATTAGTGTTCTTTTCCCTTCCAGCAGTGCCCATTTCCACCCAAATTGAATCTCAAGTTCTTCTGCTTCCGGAGACGGCATGTTCAGCCAACTGTGTATTTTCCATCACGTTTTTATTCAGAAATAATGTAAGCTGTTTGATTAATTGAGTTTGTATTTTTGTTTTTGTAGATTTGACAAGATCATCAACAAGGAAATACCGAATAAGGTGGTTTTGAAGACGATAAGGTGCTCCCTACTGTGTTTCTTCTCAATTTCAATTTCCTATTCATTTTTTAATTGAGCTTTACCAGTATTTACTTTTTTTTCCTTATGAAGTTTGGATTTTTGAGTAATGGGTTTTGTTAATTAATTTTAGGACTTAATTCTTAATCAATAATAAGTGAATTGAGAGTGGAGAGCTGGCATGGTTGGGATTAATTCTTAATCAATAATAGGTGAATTAATTCTTAATCAAACTAATCTCTAACCCATTCTTCATCTGTCGTCGGCCAATATGGGCTGTTTAGTAGAGATCTGCCTTTGTCTCTGGGATAGATCAACATCAGCTCCAAGGACATTACCAATTTCGTGAAGTTGCTGGAGAACAAATTGGAAAAGTTCAATGCTTTCTTTGTGGGGAAGGAGGAGTAGTACGTTAGTTGATGGAAGGTATAATTTCTGCAGAAGAGATCTCCATTAACCGGTAACAGATGAAATCGTTTGCTATCGAGGTTCCCGTGCAGAAGAGCGAAAATGCTGCAAGTGGAGGATAGATAACAGCTCAAGACACATGGTATAAGGGTGCAAGTAAACTGTACATATGCGTATGGAAAAAGTAAAAAGTTAAGGCGGGTTAGTTGTAGCTTCTCCTTCTCATCACAACAGAAAATACTTTTGAACTGCATTAAGCTGTTAACAAATTAAGCTTAAGCTATATTTTACTTATCAAGAATGGGTAAACTGTTTTAAATAGGAAAATTAAGTGCTTATATCAGGTAAACTGTTAATTTTACAAAGTTTTCTGGTAAATTAGATATATAGTTTAATTCGAAGAGCTCTGTTGACCTTTACTTTTGTTAAATTATATAGTTTAATTGCGTCCCCTTTTTTCAATCCCTATATATCTGCTCAACTCTTGGGCCAATTATTTGTCAGTAGGAATGTTTAATTGCTTGATCAATGATGTCGATTCAATTTGAAGAAATAGGACTTTTGTTCACTAGGGATTTTAAATAGGGTTTGAGACTCACATGAGTAAGATGTCCCAATTGTTCATTGATTCTTAGGTGCTGGATTTGAAGTAGGGATTGAGACTCACATGAGTAAGATGTCCCAATTGTTCATTGATTCTTAGGTGCTGTGTCTTTTTAGTTGCTTTATGTGGAAACTATTCATGCATGTTGCGACAAATACATTCAAGTCCCGCAGCAACGCGCGGGCATATTTTCTCGTTACTTTAGTCTAAAGTAGGAGGGGAATCGCACTATTCATATGAACAGTGTTTTTGACCACATTTTAGTTTATTTACAAGATTGCCACTCAGATGTTCCCAAAGAGTACTATGATGATGTGAGTGCTTTTATCTTTTAACTTAGCCAAATGGGTGCTCAAATTTCATGTTTTTCTGTGATTATATGAGTAAATTTATGTATTTTGTTTTTGGGTTTTGCCAAATTCAATGGTGGTATTTATGGGTTTGGTATTGATTTTCACTTAACAATGACTTTGGGGAAATGGATTGAGTCTACATTCAATGTAACTTTTCATGCAGTTACATAATGATGAAATAGTATTCAATTTTTTCATTCCTTTTTTTTTTTTTTAAATGCAGTTACATTTATATGATGATTTACAACATATATTTATCTTTTAGATTCTAATTCTTCATGCAATCTAAGCCATGAAGGATTTGATAAACCCACAATTGATAACAATGCGCAGCGGCACCAACGATTTTGAACAAAGAACAAGTAAGTACCATTTTGTTTCATTGTTCCAAAGTATTATGTAGAGATTGCTTTAATATCTTGGCTTCTTTGCTGTTTGTGGGGTGTCTGAGATAGGATTTAGGAGATTTGGTTTAGGTTTTGCAGAGAGAGAGATAGGGGGTGTCAGAGAGAAATGTGGGAGGATTTAGGTGAGGGATTTCAGGGATTTGTTTAGGGTTTCTATTCTGCGATTTGCAGACAGAGAGATGGGACAACGGTGATAGAGAGATGGGAGGATTTTCTACGAGGGTAAAGGGAACAGGTAAGGGAGGTTTGGGTAAGGGTAGGGGATGGAAAAACATTTCGTTTTCCATTTGCTTCCTCAAACCCGAGGGATTTTTGCAATTGCAGAGAGAGAGATGAGGGTGTCCGTTAGATGCCCTTTAATTGTCACCCTTGTGATTTGTCCACCCTTGATTGTTGTGTGATTCATTCTCACAAACGTTCTGTGCACAAGGTTTCATGTTATTCCTTCCTTTTAATTTTGATATTATTGTGCTTAATTTCTGTTTTATTTTATTGGGTGATTAGATTAACAGACCTTGGATATTTTGGTATAATAATTTCACATCACATGTTGCCCTTTTGCATCACCTTAATTGTTCATCAGATGCTAACTTTTAGTTATGTTTTCTTTGGGTCAGTCTCCATCTGGTACATTTGTCCATCCTTCTGGAGTGGAGCACTATCTTTCTGATAGCATAAATGCTCTGAGAAACTGCTATGGAGACAAACAGTTGTTTACTCCGTTCTAGGTATGTTTTTCTATAGTATTTTAGAGGGATACTTAACTATTCCCCATTGTAATCCTTACCTTTATATCTATCTCTCTCAAAAGACGATGAGAGTAGCAACTGTTGCAAAGCAAATTCTCGGATGTATCTAAGCATATACATACATTGGACAAAAACCGAATCTTAAATTGGGGTAGTGAGTTCTGCAACATCCTGGTGCTGCATATATTCTCACACTTTTAAAAGTTGTATTTCTCAAATATATTGGGAATTTTAATTAGTTTTATGTCATTTTCGTAGGGCAATTTAGTAGAGATTTAGACATAAAAGAAGATGCGTGAATCAATACAATTAACCTAATAGTGATTTGGTTCAGCGTAAAGACCACTGCTAGGGCACTCAAGCCATTTTCTTAATATATGCGCATATATATTATACATAACTAGCACATGTTTCCAAAGGATGTTAGTTAGTGTTCATGCTCTGCTGATATTTTATTCTGTTCATTTTGATTTTATTTTTCAGTTGTGGTTATAGGATTGTTTTGTCTCTCTCTTTTTTTTTCTTTTTTTTTTCCCTCTGTACAGCTTTTCTAAAATTGAACTGTTGTTCTCAATTTGGTTATTGGAACCAAGGCCAGTTAGGCTGTGCCTTTGGAAGGTCTCACTGCTTTTAAAGTTGAATGGTGCTAGCTGAATATAATGCGTTCATTCTTCAATGCGTGTGAGTGTATGTGTATGCAGTCTATGTGAGTGCATGCAGTGTGGTTAGGTTCATTCCCGCATGGGTTTTCATCTTTTTTTCGTTAAATGGTTAGGTTCATTCCCGTATGGGAGAGATGTGTTTTTGCCATCAAATTGGTAGAGATTGATCTTAATCAAATATCATGCCATAGTGTTATTTTGTTTGCATCTATGGAACTATATATTTACTTCGTTGTTGTTGACCGCTTTGCATGTTCTTTCCAGATAATGCTGCCTTTTTGGATTTCGTATGAGTGTCCCGGGTCGGTTCTGGACCATCAAAAGAGGGATGATCGCTGTCATTCAGACTGCAGACGTCCACTTGAAAATCCTGGTAAACATATCCTTTTCTTGATTTCAGGCCATGCAAAATTCATGGTGAAAAAACTGAGCTCATGTCGTTGGTTTGTGCCTCTATCCTATTTCTTATTTATTTATTTTATCAATTCTTTTCCTTCTTGGTTCTATATGTTGCTGCTGGTTCCGATATTTCATTGTCCTATTTGTGCATGATATAAGTGCTGCCACTTTTCATATTTTTATCAATGCTTACATCTTCACTCTTTTCCTTCTGTTTCTTTTTTTTTTTTTTTTTTGAGAAGACTTCTGTTTATTTTGCTTAACATGGTTTCAGCTTTTTGAGATTGTGTGTTTGATTAACATTTGATCGTATGGTGTTAGAATTTAAATTTGATGTGAATAAATTCTGTCGGCGGGGATTTTAGTCTTCGGATTTTTCATGGTGTAATTTTTATGGCATGATCCATTGGTGTCGTGTGTATTTTTATCAACAATAATAAGCTTTTTCTCAGTATTGCAAACAAGTTTTCTTATAATTGAGAGACGAGTGCATGGTGCATGTGTCTTAATTTATTCAGGTTAAATATGTCTTATTTATGTAGTTAAGACGGGTGCATTCAAGTCCCGCAGCAATGCGCGGGCATATTTTCTCGTCATCACTAATATAGTAGTAAGACTTAGGACATGGGAGGGGGAAGAAATGGTGATTTCCTGTGGTAGAATTTGTGACTCTTTCGTGTTTTGAGAGCTCTTCGCTTTCGTGTATTTCTTTCTTCGCTTGCGGTTGGTACGTGATCAGTATTTACTTATTCATATGTGTTGTAAACTTGTTTTTTCTTTCTTTTCAATCAGGTATGTATTGTTAGTGATTAAGCCTTGAAGCTGATTCCTTAGAGTTCAAGTTACTTAGTCTTGTTCTTATTTGCTTGAATAGGAAACGGATGGCCGAGATTAGACTAGCTCATAGGCTAGGATTGTGCCAGCTATCATAGTAGCTGACCTTTTGTCTTAGATATACTCATGCAAGACACATAAGTATGAGACACTTGTGATGCATGTGGAGTTTGTAATGGTTCCTTCTTTTATTTTCTCTCTCATTTTTATTCAGTGGGTGAAATTGAATCAAAGAGGAAGCTGGAGCTACGTTTACCATTTTGCTTCTCATCTCTTTTCTTTTCAATCCTTCTTCTGAGTTTCATCAAATTCTGCTAACTAAAATTACAAATTAAAATATAACATCCACATGTATTGCGAAGTTGGCCTTTCAAACTGCTAATTCCAGATGACCCAATCTCATACATCAATCTTCCCTGACAAAGCATGTGTACCAGACTTCAAGATAAAAAATTTCCAAGAAACTTAAAGATCAAACTCCTTAGCGGAATAAATGGTTGTTGGAACCAGTCACTAAACCCTAGCATGTCACCTCGTATCACAAGTCTCCATGTAATCATGGATGCACAAAGTCAACCGCCAGTTTTGCTTTCCAGCTTTCCAGCTTTCTCTCCTCCTTGATTCAAGGCACTTAACTTGCTGATAACTTCTTAGTTGGGTTTGATTTAAATCACCTTAAATTAAGGAAAAGCTTGTATCCTAGGTTTACCTGGTCTCTAAGGTTTCATGTAAAGATGGTTGCTTGTAACCATTCACTTTTCTTGCCTACATATACTGCCATGTACATTCAAAACTATTTATGAAAT